TTTGGGGGGGGGGGGGACTGTGCTGCGATGTAGCTGAACCATTTTAAGCAAGCGGGAGTCATGCTTCTATTTTTTTTTCTTCAAAATGTTGAGGATAAGGTGTTTCCTTTTTCAGTTTATTGTTTCCATTTTACAATACTAGTTCGCTTCGCTAGATGATTTAATGTTTCCTCATTCTTGAGTGTTAACTTGTTGAGGTCTGACATTAGGTAGCATTAGTAATAGAGCCCAAAGATAAGGAAGCAAGTTTGATGTATAAACAAGCTTTGGATCTGTTATCACAAGCCTTGGAGGTGTGGCCAAATGCTAATGTCAAATTTAATTATTTGGAGAAGCTGCTCAGCAATGCTCCACCTTCTCAGTCAAAGGACCCTGCCATAGCACTAGTCCAGGGCCTAGATGTGATGAACACGGTTTTGGAGAAGCAACCTCATCTGTTCATCCGCAACAATATCAACCAGTTATCTCAGGTATGTCCCTAGGCTAAACCATTTACTTCATGCCTATGACCCCACTTCCAATCAGAGCATCATATCTCAGATGTACTTTTTTTATACAGATTCTAGAACCGTGCTTCAAATACAAAGTGCTTGATGCTGGGAAGTCACTTTGCTCCCTCTTGAAAATGGTTTCCCTTGCTTTTCCTCCTGAAGCAGCTAATACAACACAAGATGTGAAGATGTTGTATCAAAAGGTAGAAGAGTTTATACAGAAGCACCTTGCTGCTGTTGCAGCTCCTCAGACTTCTGGAGAAGATAATTCAGGTAGCATGGTCAGCTTTGTGCTTTATGTAATCAAAACCTTGGCAGAGGTGCACAAAAACTTTATTGAACCAGCAAATCTGGTCCGTCTTCTTCAGCGCCTGGCTCGAGACATGGGGTCATCCATTGGATCCCATGTGAGGCAGGTATTACATTATGTTTCAGATGCTGTATTTGTTATCATTTAGTTTCTGCTGATTCAAATGTGAGAGTATGAGATGTATTTATTTGATAAAACCATTTTCAAGAGCATTCATTGCCCTTTGAAAGAAGTCAAAATAAAAAAAGAATCTAATGCTCTAGTGGAATTGAAGACTTCCAATGCTCATGCTATTTGAAATAGCTTTCAACATGGAGTCGAGACTCCATAACGTACACAAAGAGTGAGCGATCTATGAATATTATCCCAATTCAGGTCTTGTTCCGCGCTTAAATGGATAACTGAAACTCTTAATGATTCTGGAGTGTCTTTTGGTATACGTTAGAGCTGATTTTATGCGTTTTTCTTGAGTTTGAGTTTGCTCAATTCTTCTCTTAACTGTACGTGAGGCAGATTCTTTTAATGTAGTGCGCATTTTATTGACCACAAGTCATGGTATACTCCCACTTACAGGGTCAGAGATCAGATCCTGATTCTGCTGTCACATCTTCTCGTCAAGGTGCTGATGTTGGTGTTGTCATCACCAACCTGAAATCTGTGTTGGGCCTTATTAACGAAAGGGTCATGGTCATCCCAGATTGTAAACGATCTGTAACACAAATACTCAACTCCCTGCTGTCTGAGAAGGGTACTGACCCTTCTGTGTTGCTTAGCATATTAGATGTAATAAAGGGATGGATTGAAGTGGACATGACTAAACCTGGAGTTGCTATTGCATCTAGTACCTTTCTTTCTCCAAAAGATGTTGTTTCTTTCCTCCAGAGGCTTTCACAAGTGGATAAACAGAACTTCACCCCTAGTCCTGCAGAAGAGTGGGACAAAAAGTATCTTGAGCTTCTCTATGGTCTTTGTGCAGATTCAAACAAGTAAGCAACCCTTCGTTTTTACTTTTGCTCAGTTATTTTTCATTTGAGGGGGAATTCAGCTTGCTTTAACCATGGGCATGGGATGGAACGACCTTGTTGATTTCCAGGTATGCTCTCTCTCTGCGTCAAGAAGTTTTCCAGAAGGTAGAGAGGCAATATTTACTTGGTTTACGGGCAAAAGATCCTGAAGTGAGAATGAGGTTTTTCTCTCTTTATCATGAATCCCTTGGGAGAACACTGTTCACAAGATTGCAGTACATCATCCAAATACAGGACTGGGAGGCTTTGAGTGACGTATTTTGGCTAAAGCAAGGGCTTGATCTTCTTTTGGCTATATTGGTTGAGAATAAGTCTATAACGCTGGCTCCAAATTCTGCCAAGGTGCCTCCACTTGTTGTGTCAGGTTCTGTTGGTGATTCTACAGGGCCACAACCTATGGTCTTGGATGTTCCAGAAGGTTCGGAAGAGGCTCCTCTAACCTTTGATAGTTTTGTGGCAAAACATACACAATTTTTGAATGAAATGAGCAAGCTCCAGGTAATGGCATTTTCGTTTAGCTTACAAACATTTGTCTTGAGTCTTCCATGAGATAGCCATATACCTCTGAGCCTCTGTCACTGGTGTAAGCACTCATGATCATGATTAGAGTCGGCTTTTTGTCTCAGGTCCTTGTTTATTGTTTATTTTTTATTTATAGATAACCCTTTTTAGGTCAAATTTCTGTTGTTCTGTAACTGCATTGTGATCTTTTTTCTACCCACATTTCTTTCGAAACTCTGCTCTTCTATTGTTGGGCAGAATCTCCTTTTAGATTTGTTTATGCATCTTTAGTTATATACACTTAACGGACTGGGTCATTTGTTCTAATATGGTTATGTTGCTCCTCTTGCCTATTTGAGAGGTCAATTCTAGCCACCCTTGCGGGATTTATGCTACGGCAATTTTAACACATAATGATGTCTGCATTACACTTTTTATCTTTAAGAGTTTGTTGCATTTAAGATTTCTCCTTTGTTTAAGGTTGCTGATCTTGTCATTCCACTGAGAGAACTGGCACACACAGATGCAAACGTTGCATATCACCTCTGGGTTTTGGTGTTTCCTATTGTATGGGTGACTTTGCACAAGGAAGAACAGGTAGCCCTTGCAAAGCCAATGATAACTCTGTTATCAAAGGACTATCATAAGAAGCAGGCAACCCATCGGCCAAATGTCGTGCAAGCTCTTCTGGAAGGACTTCAGCTAAGTCATCCTCAGCCTAGAATGCCTAGTGAATTAATCAAGTACATTGGAAAGACTTACAATGCGTGGCACATTGCGCTAGCCCTGCTGGAAAGTCATGTTATGCTTTTTTTGAATGATACTAAATGCTCGGAGTCTCTGGCTGAGCTTTACCGATTACTCAATGAAGAAGATATGAGGTGTGGATTGTGGAAGAAAAGGTCAATTACTGCTGAGACACGGGCTGGACTTTCACTGGTTCAGCATGGCTATTGGCAGCGGGCTCAAAGTCTCTTCTACCAGGCCATGGTTAAAGCAACCCAAGGCACTTATAACAATACGGTACCAAAAGCTGAGATGTGTCTTTGGGAGGAGCAGTGGCTAAGTTGTGCTGGCCAACTCAGTCAATGGGATGTGCTGGTTGACTTTGGGAAGATGGTTGAGAATTATGAGATATTGCTTGATAGTCTGTGGAAACAGCCTGATTGGGCATATTTGAAAGACCATGTTATCCCTAAGGCTCAAGTGGAGGAGACACCAAAACTTCGTATTATTCAGGCATATTTTTCCCTCCATGAGAAGAGTACAAATGGTGTTGCAGAGGCTGAAAACATTGTCGGAAAAGGTGTTGATCTTGCTTTGGAACAGTGGTGGCAGTTACCTGAAATGTCCATTCATGCCAGAATTCCCCTTCTACAGCAATTTCAACAACTTGTTGAAGTTCAAGAATCAGCTAGGATAATTGTGGACATTGCCAATGGAAATAAACTTTCTGGAAATTCTGTTGTTGGGGCTCATGGTGGCCTATATNATGGTTTGATGTGCTTTTCTTTCGTATGTTTACAGGAAGCTTTTGTAAAAATAAGAGAACAAGCAAAGGCTTATCTAGAAATGAAGGGAGAGCTGACTAGCGGCCTTAATTTGATAAACAGTACTAATCTGGAGTATTTTTCTGTTAAACACAAAGCTGAAATCTTTCGCCTCAAGGGAGACTTTCTGTTGAAGCTTAATGATTGCGAAGGGGCTAATCTTGCTTATTCAAATGCCATCAGCCTTTTCAAGAATCTGCCGAAGGGGTGGATTAGTTGGGGAAACTATTGTGACATGGTATGTATTTGCTTATTGCGGGATCTTTTTTTGTTTTAAAAAAAAAAGGAATTCCTTAAGATGCTATATTTTGACATGTGGCAGGCTTATAAGGAAACACACGAAGAGATTTGGTTAGAGTATGCTGTTAGCTGCTTTTTACAAGGCATCAAATTTGGTATTCCTAATTCCAGAAGCCACCTTGCACGGGTTCTATATCTTCTCAGTTTCGATACTCCAAATGAACCCGTAGGGAGGGCATTTGATAAGTACCTGGAACAGATACCCCACTGGGTTTGGCTTTCTTGGATTCCACAGTTATTACTTTCCTTGCAGAGGACGGAAGCTCCACATTGCAAGCTTGTTCTATTAAAAGTTGCTACCGTCTATCCACAGGTAATGTTGTGATTGTTGGTGTTTTGTGTGTTTGATATTCTCAGTGACCTTCAGAGCTGATGCCATCTCACATGTAATTGTAGGCTTTGTATTACTGGTTGCGAACATATTTGCTTGAGCGCCGTGATGTTGCAAATAAGTCTGAATATGGTAGAATGGCAATGGCACAGCAGAGAATGCAGCAAAATGTCGCTGGTGCCAGTGCAGCTGGATCTATGGGCCTTGTTGATGGGAATGCTAGAATGGCTGGCCAGAGTGGGGGTTCATCAGCTGTTGACAATCATATTCCCCAGGGAGCTCAGTCCGGTGGAGGTGTTGGGTCACATGATGGCAGTAGTTCTCAAATTCAGGAACCTGAAAGGCCAGACAGTAGTATGCCCTCTGGTAATGACCAGTCCTTACACCAGAGCTCATCAGGCGGTGATGGAGGTCAAGCTGCATTGCGCCGTAATAGTGCTCTGACTCTGGTTGCATCTGCTGCCAGTGCTTTTGATGCAGCCAAAGATATAATGGAAACTTTACGCAGCAAACATTCTAATCTTGCCAGTGAACTTGAGGTGACTGGTCTTGCTTATTTTTTCACAAATAAAAGTCTAGTTAGATGATATAACCGGTCCATTTTTCAGTTAATACAGTTGTGAAACATTAATACAAGGATGCTATTCGATTCGGAAAAGGATTGGATATTACGTTTTCTCAGAATCTTTTAACTTGTGCACCTTTTCATTGATACCATCTGAAAGAAAGATAAATTCTGGTTTTCATACTTTGTGTACCTTGGACATTATGGAGAGAATGAAAATTAAAAAAAAATGAAGCATTTGGAGGGGCTCGGAGTCGTGACTTATCTTTTGTCTGCTTTTGTAATTTTGGCGTAAAAGAAATTACCAACTTATTGGTTTGATTCTTGGAAGCTTAATAAGTACTTGTATTACATAAGAAAAACACCAACTTGTGTAGTACAAATAAATATTTTGATTTTTCAAAATGGATACCCTACAAATTGTAAACCTATTTTGTCATTCAAGTGTAAGTAGATTTGCTGACGCGTCTTCTGAAAAAATATCTCAGATCTTGCTCACAGAGATTGGATCCAGATTCGTCACTTTACCAGAGGAGAGACTGTTGGCAGTTGTTAATGCTCTACTTCACCGTTGCTACAAGTACCCTACTGCAACTACAGCTGAAGTTCCTCAGTCTCTGAAGAAGGAGCTTTCTGGTGTGTGTAGAGCATGTTTCTCAGCAGATGCAGTGAACAAACATGTTGAATTTGTAAGAGAATACAAGCAGGATTTTGAACGTGATCTCGATCCTGACAGTACTGCAACATTTCCAGCAACTCTTTCTGAACTTACTGAAAGACTGAAGCATTGGAAAAATGTCCTGCAAAGCAACGTGGAGGACCGCTTTCCAGCTGTGCTGAAGTTGGAAGATGAAAGTAGGGTGTTGAGAGATTTTCATGTTGTTGATGTGGAGGTTCCAGGGCAATATTTTACCGATCAGGCAAGTATCTTAGTCCATTCCTTTCCAAATGCAAGTAGAATGTAATGTCAAAAGGATGCAATAAAAGCCCAAAACTGGGACATGAATTTCCAGGTGCAAAATGTATTCATAAGGCTTTAGTTATATAAATGACAAAATGTATCCATGGTTCAATGGGACTTGTTTCTTGGTTTCCCTTTTCTTCTGTTTCTGCTTTACCAGATATTATAGTGCTTCACCCTGATTTTTTTGTCTTTCATTTAGGAAGTTGCGCCCGATCATACTGTGAAGTTAGACAGGGTGGGAGCTGATATTCCAATAGTGCGGAGACATGGAAGC